TGAGTTCTATGTGCCTTGCGTTGTCATCCATTAAAATAAAATCAGAGCCAACTGCACCTGTGATTAGGTGAACATAGGGCACCTAGACCTCATCCCAATGCCTCACAGCAGTCACAGTGCCTCTTGCAAAGACATAACGGTATGTGCGGACATATCCAGAGTGACACCTGCTCAAACGATCAAGGCCCCGCTGTTGTAATGGTCAATTTCTCGCACATTGGTAGGCAAGTAGCGGATCCTTGGTTTTCTCCAGTATATTCTTGCCTTACTTTCATATACAGAGAACTAGGTTCCCTCTATCTGTATTTCTGGGAAGTGAGGATTTTTCTGAATGGATTGGCCAGTTAGATTTCCAGATCTCATCCGTATAGAGCAGGGATGGCGAACCAGTGGCACGCGTGCCATCAATGACACATGAATAATCAAAATAGTTTGCATTTTATTTCAAAATAACAAATTTCACTATGAAGTATTACGAACAAATGCGAGTGATCGGTCGCGTGGTGGCGGGGAGCACACTTGCTTGTAATTTTCTTGCTTTCGTTACGTCGTAGGCGACAGTTGCTTTTGATGCAAAATTTGCCTACACATAGCATAGTTAATTTTGTTGACATAACTATATTTTAAAGTTTATTTGTGTTATATTTGCGATTTTAAACTGTTATTCAACATGGCTAGTTCAGAACAAAAAGTTCAAGATAGTAAGTGTAACAGCGAATTTCAAACTTGGTGAATCTAGAAAAATGACATTATTAGTAAAGGCGACAAAGAGGTGCCTGACTTATGTTCTGGAGCAGTGGTATGCAGAACACCGCGTCTGTACAAATCACAAATATTCTTGTTAAAAAAGTGAACCACAGCAAAAATAGTTAATTGCTTAGAAACCACTTGTCAGATGATTCCAATTCAGCATGCATTCTACTAAAAGTAACATCTTACAATACTAATATAAGTTATTTATCATCCACACAATCTGCAGGAAAAGAAATCACACTAATGTTACTTAAATTTGAATTGCACGTATAGCTCAAATATTTTCAACTACACAGTGCAAAACGTATTTTTTCGTAGTAAATAAAGAGTTTTGAGTTATTAGAATTCAATTTTATTTTTTCCTAATAATCATAAGTCAAAATTATTTGACGGCACATCTATACCTCATCAAACATTTCTTAAGAAAAAATGGCACGTTGATCTATTAAGGTTCGCCACCCCTGGTATTGAGCATGCCTGGGATTTTCTGGGGAGGGCAATTGCAATACGCAAACCCCCTCCGAGAACCATCCAAGGCCTGAAAACAGAGTCGCTGAACGCCTTTTCAGCAACGTGTGAGGTCTTTTTATTTGAATAGGGGATTAATCATTTTTTTTTGGTTATATTCTGCAACTGCTATTTCATACATTCCAATTTCAATGAGAGTTACGCACGAACATGCGTGTGTATTTTAACTGTTGAATGGTTATTTTTTGTTATATATCAGTCTTGTATACATGCCAAATTTCATTAAAATTTTTTCAGTAGTTATGGGGATAATCGACAAAATCTAAAATTGCGCTTAATTTTGTACACCGGCGTATATTTTGTTAAACCAAAAGAATACTCTATTCAAAAAATTAAAAAGAAGTGTTTTAGTCAAAAATTGGTCATTTCAACTTTTTCAAGTAACTCAGAGTAAGATCATATTACGAAACAACAAGCCTTAAGATTATACAGGAAAGGAATATGGTTTGATTAAGAACAAAACTTAATTTTTTGATTGATTATTTATTAACTTCACATATCGAAGTTTCACGAGGGCTATTGATGACAATATTCAAAATTTGTATCACAGTCAAGTGAAGCGCGTCTTTATTTGCTTTATTACTACCGTAAATAAATAAATGAAGTAGCCGCGAGGGCCCATGGTCGCAAACTCTTGATGGACGTTGTCGACTCGCGTGGGTTCGAATCCTGGTACTGCTGAAGACTGGTCGAGGGACTTCGTATAGAACAGGGGTGACGAACCTTTAAGGTATCCTACTATGTTCGGAACCGTGATTTTGCAAAAGCGCATAAATGGATAATTTTCATGATATTTAGTGTCACTTTGATTAGAATATATGCATAAAATTGTTTTAAGGACATTTTGACAATTTTTTTTTATTTAAATACAATAGTTTGGCAAAAATTTAACTTAGAATAATGTTTTTTCCAATTCTCCTTTTGTGAAAAATGCCTCTATTAGAATAATATTTTGCCTGTATATAGCTCAGATCTCTCCACAGAGGCTCAAGTAGAATTTTTGAAATATATAACTTAGAAGTGGGTTTATTCATATTTTACGACAACAGAGGGGAGCAATTTTAAGAAAAAAACGCGAATAATTATTTCAATTGGTGGTAACTATGAAAATAATGTGAATTTTTCAAAAATTCTAGTTGAGCCTCTGTAGAGAGGTCCAGGCAAAATATTACAATAGAACCATTTTTCACAAAAGGAGAACATTTGAAAAAAAGGTTATTCTAAGTTAATTTTTTGGCAAAATATTGTATTTAAATAAAAATTTTTTGTCAAAATGTCCTTAAAACAATTTTATGCATGTATTCTAATCTAAGTGACACTAAATATCATGAAAATTATCCATTTATGTGCTTTTTTAAAATCACGGTTCCGAATGTAGTCGGATACCTTGTGGATCAATGTGCATTTTTTCCAAAGATATGTTTAATGAGGTACAAACGTTCTGTCAAAGAATTTTGACTTGTGATTATTGGAAAATGATAATAATTAGAGTAAGACTTTTGTTGTTGCAGATTATATGACAAATGACTTATATTAGGATTGTAAGATGTTACTTTTAGAAGAATGCATACTGAATAGGAGTCATCTGCCAAATGATTTCTAAGCGAGTCTTTAATATTTTTCATTTCTGAAGATAATAATTCGCAGGCATAAGCAGTTGAAAATATTGTTGAAATAGCATGTGATGCAGCTTCTTCAAAAAGTTATGCGTATGTAGAATTGATTTTCATGTTTTCAAAAATTCATTATTATCATTTTTACCTATATTATTAGTTAATCTTTCTGTTTCAATCAATTCCAACTTTGTCTTTGTTTCAATTAATTTTTGATTCCATATTGAACTAGTCTGGAAATCAATCTCTCAGTTGCATTTCAAATTTTATCAATTTTCAACCAATCCAATTAGGACAAGTTCAAGTTAACAAATGAAGTCGCATTAGGGTACATAATACACTTAAACATTTAAGGAAATCTGAGAAAATCTCGCTGAAACTTGTGACCAATCACTTGCGTTTATTCATAATATTTCATAGTGAACCTTGTTATTTTGAAGTAAAATGATAACCCTTTTGATTGGTTGCGTGCCCAAAATATTGTGTTGCGTGCCATCAATGGCATGCTTGCCACTGGTTCGCCATCCCTAGTATTAAAGTGACCAACTGTCCTCCTTTTATAGGTTCTGTCCTTTCCTCGAAAAGTGTCCTCCTTTTTGTGCTCCTTTTCAATATTTTGAAACTGATCTGTTAATCTCTGTATTCATAGATGAATCAAACATGTTTAAGAAATGACGAAGAATGGTCTGAAAGAAATATCACAGGAAATTACAGTTTTCAATGATATTTTTTTACTTTGTCGCAAGTAAATTGGGCGGATATAGAAAACTACATTGAGTTTTTATCGAAAGAAATGCCTGACATGAAAATCGAGGACAATGGTCTGTTTGAAGTAGAAAGAAAACTGAATGTGTATTTAAATTCTAATAAATTAGAACAATTGGAAAATCAACATGCTAAGAAATTGGTAAAATATGGGAGATATTACTTAAACCATTTAAAAAATGAACACATTCCATATGAAAATGAATATTCTTGTTGAATTTACGTTGTGCTGCCCTGAAACTAATGCAGCAGCTGAAAGAGTGTTTTTTTTCGTTAGTGATGATTTTTGTGAAGCGACTAGTGAGAAATCAAAATTGAATGTTAATATTTTAGCTAGTGCTTACCGTAAAATTCAGTATGTAGGATATTTTTTACCCGAACTTTCCAATATGTTAAAAAAGGATATGTTGACAAAAAAATATCATAATGGGAAAAATACACTTTTAAGATAATAATTAAAAAGAATGTAAGCGTAATTAGTGTATTTTTGTTTGAATTAATAAAACATTTCATATATTTAAGTTGCAATTTTTTCTTAAATTTTTCGTCCTCCTTTTCATTCTAAAAAAAATGGTCCCCTTATTGGTATAGAAGAACGAATGAACCTCTCTTAAATGTATTGAAGTTATCCTATTGGTGTATGATGGATATTTGTAGTGGATTGCTAGAAACTTGGATATAGACCTCGTCACTTAATCGAGTAGTTTCTGAGTGTGACGTTAAAAACAACCACAAATAAATTATAAAGCTAATATTAAGGTGACTGACTACGTTTGGAATCGTGATTTTGAAAAAGCATATAAATGAATATATACACACACACATATATATATTGATATTTAGTTTCAGTTGAATTAGAATATACATCTTAAATTGTTTTAATAATATTATTACAATAATAAATTATGTAAATGCAGTTTTTTGCAAGAAAATGAATGATATACTTTCAAAACATTCTCCTTTTATGGAAATTGCATCTATAATATTTTGCTTCTATGTAGAAATGGCTTCTAAACCGGGGTTGAACTAATTTTTTGAAAAGTTTTCATTATTTTCAGAGTTGCAATCAATTGAAATAATAATGGGTGTTCTTCTTCTTTTTTTGTTAAAATTTTTCTACTGATATTATGAAATATGAATAAATCCGCTTGTATAAATATATGTATACATATGGCAGAATCCCAATATTAAGAAGCAAAATAGAAAGCGATTTTCCATTTTCCTGTCTATATATGATGTTGGACTATTATTTTTGTTATTACTATTTATTCTTTTTTTTTAAATTTAATTATTCCAATAAAATAGTATTGTAAAAGGAAACAGCATTCTCAGAAATTAGGTCATCCTAGGTGGGATTTGAAGCCTCGACCGTTGAATTAGTTGTTCAACGCACTATCCACGGCACTACAAGGACACAACGCACGATTTTCCTTTTTATATATGGTGTTGGACTATTTTTTTGTCTTGTTACTATTTATTCTTTAATTAAATTTAATTAATGAATTAATATTTAAAAAACTGTGTATTGACATCCAGTATCATCAATTGTATTGCCTACAAGTTTTAAAAAATGAATTTGAACTTGAATGGATGAATAAAAAGTATCTTATTAATGATTGAAACATTTGAACACGATATATATATATATATATATATATATATATATATAAAATTACTACTTATATGTGACTTATAAAAAATGTTTTTGACGTTGTATTTACAAGCTTTATGCTTATAACCAGTATTGTAATAAGTTTTGTTATAATATTTGGTTATTTTATTTTATTTTATTTTACTTTTTTCTTATTATTTTAATTTTTTACTTTGTCTTTAATTATTACATCTGTGTTTTTTGTTACTATTTTATTGCTAGGTTTTTTTGTACTCTAGCTAAATTTCTCTTTTTTCGTTTGTAATGGCTCCATGTTCTTGGTTGTTTCGGTTTGTTCTTAAGATGTTTTAGGATTTATTAGCCTTCTTTTTAATTTATTTACTGCTATATCTTTTTTTGCATTAATAAGGCTGCATTTGCGCCTATTTATGTATAAAAATTATTACTTATATGTGACTTATAAAAAATGTTTTTGACGTTGTATTTACAAGCTTTATGCTTATAACCAGTATTGTAATAAGTTTTGTTATAATATTTGGTTATTTTATTTTATTTTACTTTTTTATTATTTTAATTTTTTACTTTGTTTTTAATTATTACCTCTATGTTTTTTGTTACTATTTTATTGCTAGGTTTTTTGTACTCTAGCTAAATTTCTCTTTTTTGGTTTGTAATGGTTCCATGTTCTTCGTTCTTTTGGTTTGTTCTTAAGATGTTTTAAGATTTATTAGTCTTCTTTTTAATTTATTTACTATATATATATATATATATATATATATATATATATATATATATATATATATATATATATATATATATATATATATATATATATATGTATATAAATATAGTTAGAGTGTGAACTAATATTAGGAATTGAAAAATGGCGACAACATTAAATTGATGAATACACATTGTGCTCAAAATAATTCTTTTGATTAAAATTAATGCGTTTCGGAAAACACTACCCAATCAAAATCTGATTAAGAAGTATTCAAAGCAATCCGGGAGCCCCAGATAAATTCAAAAATGAAACAAATTAAAACTTATAACAGATTAAACGCAAATATCTTTCAACATTATTAATATCAAGAACAAAAAAATCAAGAAGAAATGCTGTTGTGTTATTTTCTCTCTCTCTCTATTTTTGATAAAAATAACTACTTGTAATAATTTTGATTCAGATCTTTTGATGTTTTGGCAAACGTCCATAGTAAGAAAATTGAAAAAAAATTAAAATCACTTAAAATAATTCACTCTTAATTCCGCTTATGGTGAAATGCGTCATTTTTAAACTTGTTCACCGATTCATATTCTATATTTGAAAATCACTTTGGAAATTTGATCGAAGCTGAGAAAGACAAACACAATTATGACCTTCCTTGTTACTCATCTTAGATCAAAGATCATAACTGCTTGATCAGATATTGATAAAGACAGCGTGCTCAACTCTCGGCTAAATGATGAGAGCATAAAGAATGTTGTTTCTTTACTAAACACAGATCCTGGTAACGTGCCGCAAAGGTAATATATTTTAAGTAATAAATATGTTCGAGAGAATTATCTTGAACATTATTTTAATGTTGTCTCTGTAAAAAAAATGATAAAAAACTATCCATATTGAGCTTTTTACAACTGTTTCGTATGGTATAAGTCATTCAAAGCTTTTTCTGAGGCATATTATTTATTAGAGTGTCATTCTTTTTTTTTATATATATAATTTTTTTACAAACGTAATTTGTATTTAAAAAAATTAAAGCAGTCATTTTTAAAATTTTAAATCGGATCACTACATAGCTATCTCTATTCTATGAAATGTAAGGAAATTTAAGTAAGATTGATATCATGGAGAGAGAATAAATAGCTTTTTAAAGAAAAAAAACATTTTTTTTTACTTGATGAAATTTTCAATATCTAATGCTTTTGTGAGATTTGCAGTTTCATTCTCAACAGTCGATATAAGTGTTTTAGACACTAACAAAAGCATGTGTGATATTCTATCTAGTAGGTTAGTGAGTGATGTAAATATGTAACTGGATTTTATCACGTGTTTCGTATATATAGTCACGTGTTGATAACAGTTTTAAGAAACGATATCGTTTCTTGATATTAAACTATGAAGTTGTTCACTTATGTACGATGAGGTTGCATAAATTCGTTTACCAAAGCCGTGTTAAATAATTTCTTATTTATCAGTTTCACTACTTTTAAAGAAAGACTTAAAATGTTTTGCAGGCGCTTGCTTTGGATATTTGGGTTCTCAACATTTTCTGTTTATCCATTAGGTGTCCAGGGGCCCGGATAACCTGGACTTAACCATGTTTTCTGGTAATAAACTTCGTTCCTCCAGTGCCAAGGGGTCTGTAGATCTTCTGCATCCACGGCCCGAAATGAGCTTAAATTGGCACTGGTTTTAAAGATTAGAATTTAAATACTAAATAGTTTCCCCATACATGATTTTATTTACTTTTTAAGTAGTAGTAGAGAAAAAACTGGGTACTCTCAGATTTGGTGATTTCATAGCAGGATATCAGTTTTATTTTGGCAATTATTTTGGTAACGCTGTTAAATTGAAATGTGGAATATTTCTTTGAGTCACGTGATGATATTTTTTATTTTAAAACAGGAGATTAAAAAAAGTGTAACGTTGTCCTTTTACATGTTAAGGTATCCGACTACTTTCGGAACCGTGATTTTGCAAAAGCGTATAAATGGATAATATTTATGATATTTAGAGTCACTTAGATTAGAAAATGTATATACAATTGTTTTAAGAATAGTATTACAATAAAAAATTATTTAAGTACAATATTTTGACAAAAACTGAACATAGCAAAAGCGAAGAATCAATGTGTGAGTTCTTTAATAAATTATTTAAGGTATCCGACTACGTTCAGAACCTTAATTTTAAAAAAGCGCATAAATGGATAATTTTCATGATATTTAGTGTCACTTAGATTAGAATACATGTATAAAATTGTTTTAAGGACATTTTGACAAAAAAAACTATTTAGATTCAATATTTCGGCAAAAAATTAACTTAGAATAACCTTTTTTCAAAATATTCTCCTTTTGTGAAATATGCTTATATTATAATAATGTTTTGCCTGTATATAGCTCAGACCTCTGTATATAGCCTCAACTAGAATGTTTGAAATATGTAACTTAGAAGTGGGTTTATCTATATTTTACGACAACAGAGGGGAGAAATTTTAAGAAAAAAACGCCGATAATTTTTTCCAATGGTTGTAACTCTGAAAATAATGTGGATTTTTCACAAAACATAGTCGAGCCTCTGTACAGGGGTCTGAGCTACATACAAGCAAATTAATATTATAATAGAAGCATTTTTCAGAAAAGGAGAACATTTTGAAAAAAGGTTATTCTAAGTTAATTTTTTGCCGAAATATTGTATTTAAATAACTTTTTTGTCAAAATGTCCTTAAAGTAATTTTATACATTTATTCTAATCTAAGGGACACTAAATATAATGAAAATTATTCATTTATGCATTTTTTTAAAATAATGTTTCCGAACGTAGTAGGATACTTTAAACTGTCGCAAACATTTTTAAATTTATGTAATTAGTCTCGTGATGGAACAAAAGTTTGTTCAGCGTTATACACACTAGCTAAACCAAAATTATGACCCATTGTCTGTTAATTATAGATTCTGTTCTATGCTTATCAAATCTTAATATGATTTGATTTAATTAAGTGCTCCAATCTTTAGAGAAACACATATAGGATATTAATAACTGTAGGATAATCATAACCTTAAACTATGATCAAATGGATTAAAATTACATTTATTTTGTATATCACTCTTATTTTCAACACTGAACTAAGTGTAAAAACTTTGAAATTTAATTCTTTTTAAAAAATGTATTTCACATTAGATCGAGATGTTTTTGATAAAGTATGGATTCGAAGCTATGAAGCAGTTCGAGCGTCACTAGCCGCCAATTAACTCTCTATGGATGTCCTTTTTATCGTGGTTCAGTGACCTAAAAAGCCTAATGGTCATGGCCAAGAGCTCGTTTCGTGGATGTCCCGGTTTTAAATCCTAGGGCCACTGAAAACCCACAGGGTAAAAGGGCTGATACACGTGAAATCTATCGAGGCTCAAAGTTCTCCTATCGGAAGTTCGGAGAGGGGTTGTAGCTGAGGTGTTGTCTTCGTCACTTGACCAAGATTCAAAATTATGAGGTCTGTCTCTAACACCCCTCATGTTACTTTATAATGTGACTTTAATAAAATCTCATTCACCCCCTTTCTTGCTTTTTTTCAGATCATGAAATTAACTCCTCGAGAGATAGATTCGTTACTCATTCACCAGGCTGGCTATTTGGCTCAGAAAAGGCTCGCAAGAGGATGTAAGTTGAACCATCCTGAAGCAGTTGCTCTTATTGCGTGCCAGGTTCGAATTTCTTAGTTTTATATTTATGTTTAAAATGTGTATCGTCAAGGGTAATAGTTTTTGTTGCTCCATATCCCACAAAATCGATAACTTGAACCGTGAACTCTCAGTGTTCAAAATTAATTTTGATTTAACCAGTGGCGTAACGGAGAACACACATTTGCCCCCTGCAAAGTCGGGATTGGGCTCCCAAGTTGGATTTTACAAAGGATAGGTTCTTGGCGGCAGTCAGGCTTTGAACCCTCTAGAATCCTGCCCCCTCCCGTGAAGCGGGGATGTACGTTACGCCACTAGATTTAGCTGTTGTAGCAGTAGGACGAGTGATTTTGAAGAATATGTAACACTTAAAGTTGTCGGACTCATGTCATCGTATCAGAAAATTC